CAATAAGTTAGTAGTGAGTACGGATCACGCGATGACGTTTAAGCAATAGTCCAGCATGCATGCCGCGTGCGGCTATGGCCAACATGCCCACTTGCGCAAGGCGCTGGCGCACGTGGTCCTCATCCGCCAAGAAAATTTATATACACTTGTACAGGCGCATTTTGTGAATCGCACGCGCGCATCTGCGCGGCAAAATTCGCTCCTGGAATTTTTGGACGATGTACGGATGTTTTATTCGCGAAGTACGACCGGACACATTTGTGCGAGAGGCTGCTTAACCAAAGATGGGGGCCCTTGTGAAGCAGCTGCCCGCGTTTCCAAAGCACGTATGGTGATGTGGAAGGTGCGGAAGTACGTCGGTGAAATATAATGTGAAATATAATGTGGTAGGACTGGAGAGGATAGTGTAGCAGTATAATGTATTGTGAGTGTAGCTGAAGCTTTCATCGTGGGCGCGTCTCGTTGCAAGCTAAGCAACGCGTATACATGACGTGTAGCATCAGTCCTCAGTTCACTTCTTGTAACGAACATCAGCATAGGTCCAAGCCCTCTCGCTTGGAGGGATATATGCAAACAAACATCCTGATAGGTAAACTCGCATGCTACCGAGCATTCAACCGAGCACATGCATGCTTAGTTGAATGGTGAGATGCGACCCCCCTTCATTTCGTGCTCGGCAAGCCTGCCACCGCGTACCGGATATGTTGGCGATGTTACAGAGACGCTGCACCTTGGTTTCTGTGCGCAATGCATACGATGCTCGACCCCGCCGACCAAAACTACACGTGCCCAACTGAAGACACACCGGTGGTTGTGCAGCAGATCTTGAGGCTTTGTTGGCTGAAATCCATCCTGAGAGCTGCACCTCGGTACCTGTGCGCAATGCGTACGCTGCTCGCCCGCGCCGACCAAAACTACATGTTCCCATCTGAAGACAATGCCGGTGGTTCTTAAACAGAATTTGAGCTTGCTGATGGCTCAAGTCCTTCCGTAGTAGCTGCAACACGGCTAACGCAGGCACGGCCGAATGCGCTGCGAAAAGCTGTTCCAAGCCCTCAGCGGCATCCATTTTACTTGCAAGGTTCTGAACGACTTTCGCGATTCTTCTCTTTACCTAATTCTGCGTTGTTATTATTTATTTCGTAAGAGTGTAACTTGAGTTTAGTCGGAACAATGTGCATTATGCGCTGCGCTACCGAAAGCAGGCGCCTTATGGCTGATTCTTAGCCGACCGCTTCATCTTCCGCGGCAGTTTCACGAGCCCAGAGTTGCAAGCTACGCCGTTGGCTTTAGGTGCTTTTATTTACTGCAAAGCATCCACGCAATAGTCCAGCGTGCGGCTATGGCCAACATGCCCACCTGCGCAACGCGCTGGCGCACCTGGTCCTCATCCGCCAAGAAATTTTATATACACTTGTACAGGCGCATTTTGCGAATCGTACGCGCGCATCTGCGCGGCAAAATTCGCTCCTGGCTTTTTTTGGACGAGTGTACTTAGGCTTTATTCGCGAAGTACGACCGGACACATTTCTGCGAGAGGCTGCTTAACGAGCACATCCAAGCTTAATCACAGCTAATTTGCTTGTAAGCTCATGTAATGCACACTCATGGCTGGTATTTTAACTAGACGGACATGCTAAAAAACGCGATGACCACTATCACCAATTCAGACAATCATATTCACTGCCAGCAGTGTTCCTATTGACCATACATACTTTGCACACTTATAATCCACGTTGCAATACTGGTGCGTATGGCGGCAAAAATGGTGGTGTTCTATCGTTCGCGCGTGCGGACCACCACGACAAGACCGTTGACTCTTTCTGCAGCACAGGCCCACACTTGTGGTGCACCTCATTTAACAAGACATCCAGTGACATCCGAGGATTTTTACCCGGAAGGGCGCCTTATTCGCCGGGTGTCACCGTGTTCGGGGTCAAACATCCGGATCTCCCACCCAAGACCCTCGACACTCTTAGGAGAATCTGCTCTGAAAACGAGCAGACTCTGGATAGTGTTGCATAGGTCGTGTGTAGAGCTGGAATTAGCAGGTCGAGACGGAGCACTTAAGCTACTGCCCGACCTTACATTGCAGCCCGTTGGCTGCTCTGCAAGTTTTAGGTCTTGGGTCCGGAGCAGCGATAAGTGCCTGGATTTTTTGATAGGAATATTTTTAGCTTTGCTGGCGGCTTCTCGTGGTCCCCAATTTGCTCCGCCTATGTACGCCTGTTCGTCCGCCTCCTTGCATCTAGGCTGCAGCTGTGTGCCATATCCTTAGGTTTAGGTTTCTAAACAAGGCATGTTTTGGTGCGGCAACCTTGATAATTGGGCATTCACAAGTGATTGGTGAAGACATGTACGCTTGCGTGTGTAGACAGGCGCAGGTGAATGTAAACGTGGGTTACCCTGTCTGTTACCCATCAGTAGTGTATTACCCCGACCCCTTTGTTACCCCTCGGTAAGGGGTTACCCCTACCCCGGGGTTAGGTTACCCACCTCCCTTCGTACATAGCCACATGGGTAAACCCCTAGCCCTACGCCCTGGGTTACACTTAAGGGGGGATTACCCCCCGTTTTATGCCATAGGGCAATAAGAACATGCTAAAAATATGACACAGTGCTCATGCTACCATAGCCAATGGACCCCTGATATGATGCTGCAAGTCCAAGATGTCATGGGGCTAAAAAGTGCTAGGAAAGAAAAATCATTCCAAATGTTCAACAAGCCGGGATGTAAGGGGGGTTGGCTCAGCAGCCCCAGGGCAGACCGAACCACATGAGGAATACACGACTTGACACCACAAACCACATTTAAATATCAACCATGCTAAATGTTTATATACTACTAAACATAACGAATCCACAAGTACATGGTTGCTGTCCATGCCCAGCTGGATTTGCCGGTGGACATGCATGAAACATGCACACCTCATCCTCTACCTCCCCAAACTTTCTTACCACACCTCCAGATGTGCAGGCTATGGCAATATCGGACACAAGTTGATGTCTGGTACAGTGGACCTTGCAACAACCCATCACGTGCCAAGCTACCGCAAACCCTACACTATGTAAATGTACTCACGTTGTAGTTTGAGTTGCGAGGAGATGATGCCATGACTGTGATTGCCACCTTGGACGGAGGCTCCACCGCATCACACAAGAACCTGGTCAGCAAACACCAAAATGAGTAGGTCACACCATGATTGCCATGATTGACAGAAAATAGATTGGCATGCAATACTTTGCACAACGTACCATGTACTCGGATCCCTTAGCTCTTCTCGAAAAGCTGCAGTGGAGGTTGCCTCAAACACACCGTTGGGTGTAAACAGCAGCACAGAGTCCAGCACAGACTTGCTACACCACACGACGGTTTTGCCCTGGCATGCCAGCCGATAAAGCAAGTAGTCCAGGAAAGTGCTCTTGCCAATACCTGCATCGAACAACGAATGTTACTCTTCTTGAAGCCTCAGTGTTGCATTAAAATACCCCAGGCAAGGAGCTTGGCAATTCCAAAGCCAATGCATATTCCCAGCTTCACCATCGCCCATTTCCCAGAACAGTTTAGCTCCCGCACTCAAACCCATCAGCTTGCCTGGCGTGCCGCGAATGAGGACTTGGCGGGAGGGGGGATCAGACTTGCCCACAGATGCAAAGATTTTCTTACACAGGGTGTGGTAGCATGGGCGAACAAGCAAGTCGTGGAATG